CGGACTGGCTCAAGCTGTGGAGGAGGGCCTGGTGCTCGGACCTCGCATCTTGTTTACGGGTACGACTTCGTACGACACGGTACGACATGTCTGCGCTGGCACATTCACATCGACTACGGACGTGTCACGCGCATTATAGTATATTTTGAAATATATTTGAAACTTGTTCGCTGCAATGGAATCAACCAACCGAACCTAGTAGCAGCAACAGCCCTCTCCTTTGCAACTCTCCTCGGTACACACTTGCACTCGGGCCACTCTAGGGTGTCACTGGAGGTACCCATGCAACACCGGCACCGCAACCCTTCATTCGCCAGCCGTCCTTCCTAAACCCAGCGCCGTAACTTTTTTGGCCCCAAGCTTGTATTTCATTTCCCACCTTTCCAAACTTACATCCTTCATCCTCTAGTGGTTGTGACACACACAGACAGACACACAGACACACACACATACATACACACGCACATACACACTCTATTCTTGAACCGCAGCTAGTTCTACTGCCCCTTCAAAAACTGTACTCTACGTTTGTTTTTTCTCGTTATGTTTATGTTTATTGCTTTTTTTATAAGTGTGCGATGCTCCAACTTCTTTAGCAGGCAGCCGGGACACAAACCCACATTGCCACCGGTATTTCCGCGCGGCTCAGATCATTGAACTCTCGGGGGGGCCACAACCCTATGTATGTATGTAGGTCATGCTCTGAGCCAGACGGGCGGCCACGGAGACTTCCGGGGCCGCGGAGAGGAGATGTGTGCGTGCGGAGCCGCGCTGCGAGGCATCGGCCGCGTGTGCGATGGAGACGCAGAGGTAGCGTTTTTCTGTTTTCCTGCTTTTCTGCTTCCTGTTTTTCTGTTTTTTTTCCTGTTTTTTCGGCGTTTGGGCCGTCTGCACCATCTAGGCTGCGCCGATTTGGTTTTGGATTAGGTTAGGTTAGGTTAGATTAGAGACGTTGAGAGTTTTTTTATATGTAAAATAAAATAATCTGTATATCAATCTGTTGCTACCTTTACTACATCTACCTCTCTTCTACCCCTGTTTGATCGGCCTACATTCCTACAGTCCTAACTTCCACTTCTTCTGTCCGGGGGGCCGGGGTGGGGTGGGGGGGAAATTGGGTTGGGTTCGTTGGGGGGCCGGCTGTATTAGGTTCGTCGTGCGGCTCGAGACGAGCTTCGTCGGGGGGCTCATTGCTTGAAGGTGATGGCTTCGGGCGGCGTTGCTTCCCCCACTGATAGGTGAGGTATGTACGGGTGACGTTTGTACGGGTGAGGTTTGTGGAGTGTGGAGGTGGCCACTGTTGATTGTGAGTTGAGGTTGTGAGGTGCGGCTAAGAGCCGTACTTGTCCCCTGCCACAACGTTGTTCAGAGTTTCCAAGGTTATTTGTCGAAGTATGAAGTGAAGCCTCCAGTGAAGCCTCCAAGTGTGCGTGCATAGTTGTGGAGTGATGAA